GCGGCGTGGGGAGGGCGCGGCGGCAGCGCGGCGGCGGCGTGGGGAGGGCGCGGCGTGGAGAGGGCGCGGCGTGGGGGAGGGCGCGGCGTGGGGAGGGCGCGGCGGCAGCGCGGCGGCGGCATGGGGAGGGCGCAGCGTGGAGAGGGCGCGGCGTGGGGGAGGGCGCGGCGTGGGGGAGGGCGCGGCGTGGGGGAGGGCGCGGCGTGGGGGAGGGCGCGGCGTGGGGAGGGCGCGGCGTGGGGGAGGGCGCGGCGTGGGGGAGGGCGCGGCGTGGGGAGGGCGCGGCGTGGGGGAGGGCGCGGCGTGGGGAGGGCGCGGCGTGGGGGAGGGCGCGGCGTGGGGAGGGCGCGGCGTGGGGAGGGCGGGGCGTGGGGGAGGGCGCGGCGTGGGGAGGGCGCGGCGTGGGGAGGGCGCGGCGTGGGGGAGGGCGCGGCGTGGGGAGGGCGCGGCGTGGGGAGGGCGCGGCGTGGCGCGTCGTGGCGCGTCGTGGGGGAGGGCGCGGCGTGGGGGGGCGCGGCGTGGGGGGGGCGCGGCGTGGGGAGGGCGCGGCGTGGGGGAGGGCGCGTCGTGGGGGAGGGCGCGGCGTGGGGGGGGGCGCGGCGTGGGGAGGGCGCGGCGTGGGGAGGGCGGGGCGTGGGGGGGGCGCGGCGTGGGGAGGGCGCGTCGTGGGGGAGGGCGCGGCGTGGGGGAGGGCGCGTCGTGGGGGAGGGCGCGTCGTGGGGGGGGCGCGGCGTGGGGAGGGCGCGGCGTGGGGGAGGGCGGCGGCGTGGGGGAGGGCGCGGCGTGGGGAGGGCGCGGCGGCGTGGGGAGGGCGCGGCGTGGGGGGGGGCGCGGCGTGGGGGGGGCGCGGCGTGGGGGGGGCGCGTCGTGGGGGGGGCGCGGCGTGGGGAGGGCGCGGCGTGGGGAGGGCGCGGCGTGGGAGAGGGCGCGGCGTGGGGAGGGCGCGGCGGCGTGGGGGAGGGCGCGGCGTGGGGGAGGGCGGCGGCGTGGGGGAGGGCGGCGGCGTGGGGGAGGGCGGCGGCGTGGGGGAGGGCGCGGTGTGGGGGAGGGCGGGGCGTGGGGGAGGGCGGGGCGTGGGGGAGGGCGGGGCGTGGGGAGGGCGCGGCGTGGGGGAGGGCGCGGCGGCGTGGGGAGGGCGCGGCGTGGGGAGGGCGCGTCGTGGGGGAGGGCGCGGCGTGGGGAGGGCGCGGCGTGGGGAGGGCGCGGCGTGGGGAGGGCGCGGCGTGGTGCGGCGGCGGCGTGGGGAGGGCGCGGCGTGGGGAGGGCGCGGCGTGGGGAGGGCGCGGCGTGGCGCCGCGCGGCGTTCCGCGGCTGTGACGGATCCCGAGTGTCCCGTCTCCTCACCGCCGGCCGGTCCGCCGTGGCCTCCCCCACGCCGCGCCCTCGTCTCCCTCCGAAATGCCTCCGGCCGGCCAGCAACACCCGCCCTGGCTTTTTTTTTTTCTTCTTTCTGATCCTGGGCCTTGAACTCTGGGCCCGGGCGCCATCCCTCAGCTCTTCAGCTCTAGGCGAGCGCTCTACCACTTGAGCCACAGCGCCACTTCCAGTTTTCTGGTGGTTCATTGGAGATAAGAGTCTCACGGACTTTCCTGCCCGGGCTGGCTTTGAACCTGGATCCTCAGCTCTCAGCCTCCTGAGTAGCTAGGATGACAGGTGGGAGCCACCAGCGCCCGGCTCCCTCCTGGCTTTTTAACTGGATTTTCTTGGTAGAGGTGAGGACAGGGTTCTGCGAACCACTCCCCTCCCTTCTCTTCCCCAGTGACCTTGGCGTGCCCTTGAGCCCCAGAGAGTGATCGTTCCTCAAGGTGGTAAAACAGGAATGAAGTGTCTTTGCGTGTTTGTATCTTTCAAGCTCAAGTACAAATCACACAAAGAGCAGCCCGTGCACTGAGATGGCCTTTGCAGGGCTGTGCGCGTGTGTGCTTGTTGGCATGTGTGTGCACCCTTGTGTGCTCTGTGTGCTTTGTGTGTGCATGCACCTATCATGTGTATGCACATCTGTGCATTCTCTGCCTCTGTGTATGTGTATGACAGAGAGAGAGAGAGAATATCTCTCATTCTGCTCTGTTCTGTTCTGATGACAGCAGCCTGCAAACTCCTTTGGGGTCCCTCTGGTAAGCTCAGTCCTTGGCCGCCAGCTCAGGGAGCTCCAGCCTCTCAGCCAGCCAGCCAGCTGCCCAGGAGCTGCTGCTAAGGAGTCCCTGTGTTGACTCCCCCCCCCCCCACTGGGTCCCCTTTCTAACCCTCCCATCCTGAAGGAGACCCTCGGAGAAGGCTGTGCCCCGGAGCAGCTCCTCTCCCAGTCTCCCAGGCCCTCACAAGCTTTTCTTCTCAAGCTGGAGGGTCGGACAGCCAATCCAGCCCCTCACCTGTGGCTGGCAGGACTCTGAGACCCAGCACCTACCCAGGGGAGGGGAGGGAAGGGCAGGACGGAGGCTGCTCAGACTGGCCCTCATGTCTTGGTCTTTGTTGGAGCGACAGAAGCCCTGAACCGGCAGGGCTGACGTCACTTGGCACAGAACTGCGGAAGCTGGCACAGTGCCAGCCGGCCTGCCACGGCTTTGGGGGCTCAAGTGTGGGGTGTCTGCCTAGTGAGCATGAGGCCCTGAGTACAGACCCCAGTACCACCAGAAACATTAAGAACAATCCAATGATTTCACAAAATTGAGCCTATAAAACAGCCCCGTTCACGTTCTCCCGCCGGCCGGGAAGGTCCTGCAGCTCCGCAGCTCCACAGCCCCCGGCCCAGGGGCTCCCACGCCGGGCTCTGCAGTGTTTGATGGCTGCTCCCTGCGTCTGCCACAATGAAGGTGACCTTTAAGGCTGGTGCTCCCGAGCGCCTGCCAGCCAAGGTCTTGGAGCTCCAGCAAGGCCTCTGCTGCCACCTGGTGGTCATCTTAGAACATCTAGTCCAGGCCTTGGGTGGCTGGCTCTCAGCGGGGCTGCACACCTGCCGGCGGTCACCCAGCAGGTCGCCAGCCGAACAGGACCAGTGTGGCCAGGAAGACGTCAGTGATGGTGGTGGTGACATCAGGGATGGCGGTGACGGCGTCGGCGATGACGACAGTGATGGTCATGATGAGAACACAGATGCTCAAGGTGAAGAACAGTGCGGGGGAGACAGGTCACCCTTGTCCCACAGCCACACAGGGTGTCTGTGCGGGCCTGGGCGGGTGCCAGCCAGGACGGAGAAGCTGAGACCTGAGGCCAGGCAGCTGTGGTCTGGGGAGACTCCCCACACACCTGCTTGTCTGTACCTTGGTCGTCTCTAAGGACGAAGGATCTGTCTCCCGCTGAATCCATTCTAGGGACCTTGTTGTACAACTTGGAGCCATAACTCAGACATAGCAAGAACCAAGCAAGAACTGCAGGGCCCCAAGGGCTCGGGGCAGCCCCGAGCTCTGGCTGCAGCCAGACATGGGGGTCACAGGCCCTGACGCCCAATCCGGCAGAGGGTGCAAGGCGCAGCAGGTGTACACTGGAGCTGACCCAGGAGAACACAGCAGGGGCCCGGCCTGGCCCGTTCCTGAGGCCAGGTCTCCCCGTCCTCCTGTCTTTCTGGCAAAGCAGGAGGGGAAGGCAGGATCCTGTGTGGAGGGAGGGGCGGGTAGGAGTCTAGAAAGTCCCAGGAAGTGCTGCTGTAGACAAGAGGTCAGCCCAAAGAACAAAGCATTGCAGGCCTCATGTGGAGATTGTGTGTGTGTGAGAGAGAGAGAGAGCTGTGGTGTTCACAGACACTGCAGAGCATGGGTGCACAGCGTGTCGCTGCATGGTGCAGGGGTATGTGGTGTGGTGGGCAGTGTTGTGTGTGATCAGCGGCGTGGATGGCGCGTGTGGTGTGGGTGCAGGGGCATCGGTGCCGTGTGGAGCGTGCACATGTGTGTGCTGGGTGGGGTTTGTGGCCATGGTGTGGCCTGTGCGTGGCGTGGTGTGCGTGTGAGGCACAGGTGTCTGTTACCGAGCGATGCCCACAGCACACTCAGTCACCCTTCTGATGCTGCCCGCCCGCTGCCCCTGCGCGTCAGGCTCCTCCGAGCGCAAGGCCTCTGTGTGGCCTGGCGGGGCCTGGCGGGGCCTGGCAGGGCCTGGCGGCTGCAGCCCCACCCTAAGACCCCAGTCGGCCCCAGGGGAACTGTGAGGAGTCCCTGCTCCTGGACGGGAGGCTGTGCTGTCAGGTGCGTCCTGTCCCGGCTCTGGGGCCCAGGCAGGAGCCAGTGGCCCGCGCGGGGAGACAGTTCTCTGGCACTTGGGCCCTGATCACTGCCATTGTTTCCCAGGGCCACTCTGGAGGGGGCAGAGATGGGGCCGGCCTCGAGCGGGCCTGAAGGAGAGCGCGGGGCCTTAGGAACAGAACGTGACACCCCTTTTATCATCTCGTGGTGCTGGGATTGGCGCTTGAACTCAGGGCCTCTGTCTGTCCTTGGTCTTTTCTGCTCTGGGCTGGTGCTCAACCACTGGAGCCACACCTCAGCTTCCAAAACCGAACATCGACCTCCCCTCTCCCTCCCTCTCCCCCTCCCCCGTGGTCAGGCCCCTCCTCCAGCCCCTCAAGACCCTGTAGGGGTAGACAGCACAACAGGACCGCCGAGAGTTGCTTCTGTCACCTGCTCTTTATTGGCTGCCGGGGCTGCCTGCTCGTGGGTAACCAGGGTCCCCCGGAGCGGCACTAGGTAGAGGAAGGAGGGGGGAGAAGATGCGAGGGAGGGCTGCCAGGGTGCGCGGCCCCCGGGGGGCGGGCTCGGGGTCAAGCCGGGCAGCGTGGAAGGGGACAAGGTCTCATCTGGAGAAGTGTGCGACGTGGCCACTCCGCCGGCCGGCTGCAGGGGGCCTGGGACAGACCCCACACACACACACAGGGAGGAGGCCCCGCACCCCGCGCCCGAAACCCCCTTCCCTCCGAGAAGATGAAAAGGAAGTGAAGACTAGGAGAGGAGAGGCAGCAGGCGGCACGCGAGGCCCGGCCCGGGTCAGGGCCGCAGCGGCAGCCGAGCCCACGGCGCTTAGGACGAGGGCGCCGAGCTGGGCTTCTCCTCCCGAGACACGGGGATGGCCCGCTCGCTGTGGCCAGCGTCCAGGCCCGACTGGACTTTGGGACCAGAGAAGGTCAGCATGCCGTCCACGGACAGGGAGCAGGACAGGGCCGACTGGTCCACGTTGGAAGGGAGGCGGTAGCGGCGGTGGAACTCCCGGGAGATGTAGCCGTGGTCGTCCTGGACGGGGAGGACGCGGTCAGAGCGGGGCCGGGCCTGGAGCCTGCCCTCCCCACACGGCGGCTGGGCCAGGCCGCCAGGCTGCAGGCCTCCTCGCCCGGACTGGGCCAGACAGCCTGAGAGCTGGCGCCAGAACCTTCCAGAGAGTCCCAGCTATGTCCTGACTCTCCCTGGCTCTGGGACTTCAGCCGAGAACTGGGACAGAGGCAGGGCCCCTGGCCAGTCCCGCCCGTGACCCCGCACCCGTGACCCCGCACCCTGGACAGTCCTGCTGAAGCTGCTCCTGCCCGCATCAGCCTCCCCCTCCCTGTGGCCCAGTCCAATGGACGGTTACCCATAGCGCCCCTGGTGAGAAGCTCACTTCCCCTGAGTACCAGACTCCCCCAGATTTGGCTTCCTCACCCCCACCCCCGAGTTCCTGCTCCTCCCAGAGCTTCGTCTGAAAGCAGGGAACAGGAGGAAAATCACGCTCGGGGGGCCTTGGAGAGCCCCAGGCGGAGAGGGCAGCGAGTAAGAACCTGACCCCCACCCCACGCCCTGCCAAAAGAGAGGAAGACGGCAGCCCGGAGCCTTGCACACGGCCCCGTCCCTGCTCCACCGGGGCCTGCGCAGCCCCAGCGGCCCGAGGCCCAGGAAAGGGGGCGCGGAGCCAGCGTCCACGCCCAGCGTCCCCTCACACCCCAGGGCCACCTCCACACCACAGAGCTTGGTGGCACCGCACCGGGAAGAGCGCTGCCCTGCTGGCTACGAGCTGCAAGAGCCGCCGGCCAGACCTCAGAGGCCACTCTGACCGGAGGCCGGACCTCAGAGGCCGCAGGGGGGAACAGGGGTTCCTGAGCCTGCCCTCTGACCAGAGGCTGCTTGTGGAAGCACACACTGGCTCAGCAGCAGTCACTTCCGGGGGGTCCTTCTCCCATCCAAGTACTAACCAGGCCCCACCTACGACGCCGGGCGTGTCGGGGCACGGCTGCGCTCACCCTGCCACCACCGTGTGCAAAGAGCCATGGCAGGCGGCGCTCAAGACAGCGCAATCTGGATTCCCGAGACAAGGTCCCGACCCAGGCTCAGAGTCACAGAGACGGCCGCAGCCCCAGGGGAGAGGTGAGGAGGGGCTGGGCGCGGCCAGACCTGCCCCCACCCCACCTCCCGGCCCCCGGCCCCGGCCCCCAGCCCCGGCCTCCCCGGCCCCCGGCCCCCAGCCCCGGCCTCCCCGGCCCCAGCCCCCAGCTCCGGCCTCCCCGGCCCCCAGCCCTAGCCCCCAGCCCTGGCCTCCCTGGTCCCTGGCCCCCAGCCCCGGCCTCCCGGCCCCCTGCCCCCCTCCCGGCCCTCTCCCCCGGCCCCCGCCAGGCCCAGCTCACCTGTCTCTCGTTGTGTTTGCCATGGATCTCCACGAAGTCCTCCAGCACCTTCACGGTGAGGTCCTCAGGAGAGAAGTGCTTCACATCCAGGAAGATGACGAACTTGTCCCGGTCAGACCGGACCTGAAATCCAGATCCTCGCATGGAGCTCCCCACAGGGCCGCCAGCTCGGGAGGGTGGCCGGTGCGTCCCCGCTGCGGGCAAGGACTGCGGGGGGCTGTGCCCGCAGCTCCCGGGCAGCCAGTCCCTCCTCCGCTCCTCCGTGGGAACAGAGTGTGCCCGGACCAACCCTGTCCGCTCGCCTGAGCCCCCAGGCCCGGCCTCCACCGGACACCGACCCCGAGATGGGCAGTGGTGTGTCGCTGCCCGGTGATGCTGGGCAGCCGGTTGCTATGGTCAGCTGGCCCGCTGGTTGTAGACCGGACGGCCAGTAAAGGAGTTGCTTGTCTGCTTTATAGGTTATGGTGCTGAGTTCAAGCTGACTGGCTGATTGATAATAGTTTTAGTGGCTCATTATGGGCTGGCCAGGAGTTTGGACATGGTCAGTTGTCTGGACATAGGTCAGTTGGCTTTGTATGGGTCGCATAGCTCTTTGGGGGTTAGATAGCTGTTGTGTTACTGTTTGGCTGGCTGCTGATGCTTGGGGGAGGCCGGTTATGGGCCGGCTGGCTGACTTCTGGGACTGACTGGAGGAAGTTCACTGCCCCTGCTTCGCCAGGCCTCCCCCGGCCACGCCAGTCCCCCACACACAGTGGGCATGGTACTGCAGCAGCCCACAAAGCCTTGCACACTGTCTCTCCTCCCCTCGCTTCCCCTCTCCTCCCCTCGCTTCCCCTCTCCTCTCCTCTCCTCTCCTCTCCTCTCCTCTGCTCTCCTGACTCAGAGCCGTTGCCTAGACCATTAGCTCCCTGCGCTGGCTCCCAGTGGGTCAGCTCAGGGACTCTCCTACTTCTGAGACTGTGGGTGCCTTAGCTTCTCCAGCGCTGCGCAGCCATTCAGGTGGGGAGGAGATGGCCCTGTGGCCTTTTCTCCACCTTGGCTGGGGTGGCAGCGGAGGTGGCCAGGAGCTGGGGGCTGTGCCTTCCTCTCCATCTCAGGGCAGCGTCCTCCCCCCGCCCAGGGGAGAGTGCGGGAAGTCACCCAGGAAGCTCCCACTGCCATGGAACTTGCCTTGCCAGGGTTGTTCTTGGGGTTTCCGCCATGTGGTTGCTGCATTACAAACCACATGTGGCTCATGAGCTGATGGGAGGAAAAGACAGCAGTCGAGCCTGGGCTGGCCTGGTCCTGGCCCCGCTCGGCCGGCGGGGCGGCCGCAGCCAGGGCGCGAGCGCTCCTGCCACGCCTGGGCGGGCAATGCGGCAGTGGTTCTGGGGGCCCCTCGGGGATCCCTAGCTGCCCTCTGCCAGGGCCGGGCCCCCCCAAACCAGCAAGGAGAAACCAGCACCACCAGGGCCTCACCTCGGAGATGCCAGAATCCAGCACCGTGCGGAAGAGAGACTGGCGGTAGTAGGGGCTGATGGTGGAGGACAGGAAGGGCAGCAGGTCATACTCGAAGAGACCCTCACCGAAGAACTGGTCGAACAGCCGGCTGGGGTAGAAGGGCCCCAGAGCACGCTTGAACCAGGGGTGCTGGATGGTGACGTCCATCTTCTGCTGGGCACCACAAGGACCAGAGGCAGGTAGCGAATCGGGACAGGGGCCTCTGGGAGCGCAGTGGGGAGCCCGGGTGCCAGCCCTCTCTATATACTCCGGGACAGAATGGAGGCATTAAGGGATTTCTCTGGAAATGCCTGAGCTCAGGAGACAGGCTGCAGCGTCAGCAGCCTGGCTGGGCCGTGTGCCTGCCAGCTCAGCCCCGCGGAGCCAGCGCTCCGGCCAGATGTCCCCCGGGGTAGCTCTGTCCCTACGGGGTCTCATCGCGACAGGCCAGGGACACAAGGGATCACTGCATGCTGTCCTCTCGACCACCCTCCAGGGGAGGGAAGCTGAGGCACGAGGTTGACAGGAGACCCCTCTCGGGCTCTCCAGCATCATGTGTCACTGATCACAGAGTTCAGAAACTCACAAAAACCTCAGGAAAACCAAGCAGAAACCAGCAGCCGGTGCTGTGGTTCACACCTGCAATCCCAGCTACTCAGAAGGCTGAGATCTGAGGATCGCCATGTAAAGCCAGCCTTGGCAGACAAATCTGAGAGGTACTTACCTCCAATTACCCAGCAAAAAGCCAGAAATGGTGGTGTGGCTCAAGTGACAGAACCTTGAGTGGAAAAGTGAGAGTGCCAGACCATGAGTTCAAGCCCCAGTTCTGACGCAAGAAAGAAAGGGAAGGAAGGAGGGAGGGAGGGAGGGAAGAAAGAAGGAGAAAGAGAAGGGGGGGAGACAGAAAAATGGAAGAAAGGAAGAGATAAGAAAGGAAAAGAAAATGAAGCCAGCTGGCACTCGTGATTCCAGAACAAGCCTTGCTTTGTGAGGCCTGTGAAGTGTGTCTGGGTCTTATGAGAAAGGGGACCCATGCTCGAGATTGCCTGCTGGCCCCGCCTGCCCTCCCAGCTTTGGGGTACTGCCCAGAGCAAGGCGGTTAAACCAGCCTTGCCTGCTGGCCCCGCCTGCCCTCCCGGCTTTGGGGTACTGCCCAGAGCAAGGCGGTTAAACCAGCCTTGCCTGCTGGCCCCGCCTGCCCTCCCGGCTTTGGGGTACTGCCCAGAGCAAGGCGGTTAAACCAGCCTTGCCTGCTGGCCCCGCCTGCCCTCCCGGCTTTGGGGTACTGCCCAGAGCAAGGCGGTTAAACCAGCCTTGCCTGCTGGCCCCGCCTGCCCTCCCGGCTTTGGGGTACTGCCCAGAGCAAGGCGGTTAAACCAGCCTTGCCTTAGTGGCATGGCTGTCCCACCCCATCCCACCTGTGGCTCTGTGCAGTTACTGTCAAGTGTCAGAGAACTCACCTTTCTAAAACTTCTTTTCTTATTTCCTTTTATTTTATTTTTTATTTATTTATTTAGTCAGTTGTGAAGCTTGAACTCAGGTCCTGGGTGCTATCCCTGAGCTTTTCTGCATTTGACCACTTTGAGGCATAGCTCTACTTCCAGTTTTCTGGTGGTTAATTGGAGATAAGAGTCTCACAGCCTTTCTTGCTCCACCTGGTTTTGAACCACGATCCTCAAATCTCAGCCTCCTGAGTAGCTAGGATGACAGGTGTGAGCCACTGGTGCCTGGTCCTAAGGCTTTGGATAGTTTCAGCAACTTGGCATTTGGCATGTCAGGAGGGATGCCTTGGGAGCACTCTGCTAACTACTTTAGCAGGGCGGAAGCGCACCCCAGCCCTCCAGGCCCGTGTTGGCCTGTGCCCTCCAGACCCGAGCAGCCGCTTGCTCCTCTTTGTGTCTCCTGTTCCTCATCCAGGTTCTAGTCAGCATGAGTGTGTGTGTGCATGAGTGTGTGTGTGCATGTGTGTGTGTGTGTCTTTTTTTTAATAAATGCACACCGCAAAGCACTTTTGGGTTCTTTGCCAATCATCTCTGGCCTGTGAACTCAGAGGCTGAGAATGGACCCCCCTCCCCACCATCGGAGGAAGCCGGGGATCTCACAGGCTGTGAGCTCCACAGGCTGTGAGCTTCATGCTTACCATAGGTGGCCCTGAGTCACAGGAAACAAAGGGAGAGGGGTCTCCTCCAAGAGGCACACACACCGCGCCTCGCCTCACACTAACAGCGTGTAACAGCATCCTGTCCACCCACCCTGGGTCTGGGAAACGAAGGCCCTTTTGCTCTGAGCCCAGATTCTCCTAGAATCCACGCTGACAGTGTCTCCGCTTTCCCTCGGGCTCGCTGGCTCCATCCCCAGGCGCAGCGGGAGAGGGTTACCATTTGCATGTGAAGTTGTGTCTCTGAAAGAGGCTTGAAAGCTTCTTCCCCAAGACAAGCACTGTTCAGAGATAGGGAACCACCGGGTCGGGACAATGCTGACTTTGTGAGCGGATTCACCTGCGGATGGATTCAAGTTTGGAAATACTTTTGAGAGGGAGTTAACAGGACCCCAGAAGGTGGGCAGAGGCAGCCTGGCAAAGAGAAGTACCTCTGAAGGGTATTGTGTGTGTGTGTGTGTGTGTGTGTGTGTGTGTGTGTGTGTGTGTGTGTGTGTGTGTGTGTGTGTGTGTGTGTGTGTGTGTGTGTGTGTGTGTGTGTGTGTGTGTGTGTGTCCTGGGACTTGAACTCAGGGCCTGGGCAGTGTCCCTGAGCTTTCGCACTGAAGGCTAGGGCCACAGCTTAAGTGTTTAATTGGAGATAAGAGCCACACAGACTTTCCTGCCCGGGCTGGCTTTGAACCACGATCCTCAGACCTCAGCCCCCTGAGTAGCTAGGATGACAGGCGTGAGCCACCGGCGCCCGGCATTTGAAGGGCATCTGGCCCTGGCCCCTTGGCCTTTTTCTTGCTCTGCCTCCCAGGTGCCACAAGAAGGCCCTGCTGCTCCACCTCGGGCTTGGCCTTGGTGACGTCTCTGTCTCCCCGCAGCCCAGAAGCCCAGGAAGCCGCCACCCTTGGGCCAAAACCTCTGATATCATGAGCAAATGAATGTCCCTCCCCTTGCTGCGTGTCGTAGGCATTCTGTCACAGTGATGGCAACCATGGACTCACACGGGGCTGGCATGGCTGGGGACGCGTCCTGGAGGAGGGCTGCCGGCCCTGCTCCCTTCCCCCTTCGGCTTCGGGTCTGTGAGGCTGCGGCTTCCTCGGCCGCTTTCCCGCCGTGGTGTTCTGCCTCAGCACAAGTCCCAGAGCATGGCAGCGACTCGTCCCGGACGCGCTCTAGTTTAAGATCAAGCCAAGTGACACCTTTGGTTGTGTCTGGCATTGGCCTCCTACAGGAGGCCACCTCCAAGCCACGGCGCATCTGGAGGGGGCCGGGGGAGGGGGCAGAGGGTTGGGGGGTCGGGGGGAGGGGCAGAGGGTTGGGAGTCCCAGCACGGAGGAAGAATTAGAATGATAAAACCGGCTAAGGCCGAGACACCAGTGCCGCTCGGCATTGTGGGCACTGTCAATCTACACAGCGGCACCAAGTGTCCCTCCTCTTTGGCTGGTTCTAGCAATTGCTACCAAAACAATACAGTCAGCTCTGGACATTCGGGGAGCGATGTCGGCTGCGGCCCTCAGTGGGTAGGGCAGGGGGTGTCCCATCGTCCCTCGGTGCCAGCGCCCTCAGCCTGTCAGTCCCCAACCCGGTAGCAGGCGACAGCCGATCTCATGACCAGACTCGCTCATACGACCTTCCCTCAAGGTCAGCGCTCTGGAGCCTCAACAAACCTGTCTAGCTAACGTGACTTCTCTCGGTAAGATGCTTCCCAGCCTCCAAGCGCACGTGCGGGGTCCAGGACAGGCCACGGGCGCAGCACACACTTCACGGCTGAGAGATGAACCAGGAAGTGAGGACGGGAATTTGTCCTGCTCGCCCGGGAACGTGTGTGCGCCGGAGGAGCGGTCTTCACGCCACACACACACCAGAGAAAGGTGGTGGAAGTGTGGCAGAGCTGGCTCAGGCGGCACACCAATTTGAGCAAGTGGGTGCTCTGGACTTGGACGGAGGTCTCCCAGAATTCCCAGCTCTCCACCAGAAGGTGCTTGTGTCTTAAGACAAGGTCTTTGGGGAAAACGGAAGCCGAATGAGGACATACAGGTGGACCCTGACCCGATCTGCCATAGGAAGAAGAGACCTGGACACGCAGAGGAGACCCCACAAGGCTCAGCCAGAGACCGAGGCCTGGGGGGACCGGACCTGCCGACAGTTTTATCTGGGCCTTCCAACCTCAAAAAGAGTACCTCTCTGTACTGTGTCAGTCCACAGTGCAATCTACCCTTTTATCTGAGGTTTCGCTATCTGCTGTCTACAAACATGGAATGGAAAATACCAGGTATAAACATTCAAAAGCTGTTCTGAGTGGCAGAACCGCTCTCCTGCCTGGGTCAAGAATTGTCCCTGGTCTAGTGCGTCCACGCGGCGTATAGTTGCTACCTTTGTCAGTCACTTGGTAGATGGACTATTGTGGACTTTCAGTGCTCGGCTTCTAATAACCCTTATTTTACTCAGCTATGGCCCAAGCCGAAGGGGCTTGGTGTTGACCATGCAAATGGTCAAGCCATGAGGGCTTCCTTTAGGCAAAAAGACGAAGGATCCCATTTTGATAACAATAGCAACCGGTGTGGGATTGACTCCCTGTCTGCTGATGCCGCAGCTACCTCCTGACGATGATCAGGAGCAACGCCCACCCTGCTGTCACAGCCCCGCAGACAGGAGCCGGAGGTGACCTCACACATTCGCGTGCCTGCGCTGGCTTGAAGGACGTCTGAAGGACGGAGCTGTGTCGGGAGTAAGGAAAGGGGATTCCAACCCCGCTGGCTCAATACATTTCCACACAGCGGATTTCAAATGAGCGTGGAAGCAGCCGCTTCCTGCTGGGTCTGTGGCTCTGGAGGCCTCTGGGCATTTCTCTTTTGTGTTGAAGATGTAAAACTGAGACTCAAAGCCCAACCTCGTCTCTAAATGCAAATACAAACCCGTGCCTAAGATGTGTCACTGAACAGAAAGTTGCTCTTGTTTTTAATTACCATTTTAAAGAATCAGGGAAATGATAATTATCACAGGATCACACAGAAAATCCTTGTGTCCCGTGGAGGGTGGAGGGTTTAGGGTTTGGGAACGTGACTACACT